GCCCTGGGAAAGGTCGAATCCAGAACGAAGATGCGGGAACCCCTTTTCGCTGCTCCCTGGATATTGGTTAGTTTTTACTATTTTACATTTCTTAACTATAAGTATAATTTGAAAAATTGTTGTTTGCCTACTTTAAATTATTGGGATTCTTAACAATTAAAGATTATAGAGTCGATAAAAAGCAATTGTATTTTGCGACGTTCTGTCATCTTTATTGAGGCTTCCTCAGGTTTTAGTGCTTTACTGTTTCTATTATTGACAAATATAAAATATAACTATAAATATAATTTGGAAAATTATTGTTTGCCTACTTTAAATATTGGAGTTCTTGGTTAAACTATATAGAGCCAACAAAAAGCAATTATTTTTACGACTTTCTGCCGAGGTTTCCTCAGGCTTTAGTACCCTACAATTTTTATTAATGATACATATAAAATGTAACTAATAATATAATTAGAAAAATTGTTGTTTAGATGGATTAAATATTAATCGATTGGTAAGTAACAGTTAAAGCATGTTAAACTACCAGTAATTAATTGTATTTATGTGACGTTCCGTCCCCTTTATTGGGACTTCCTCAGGTTTTAATGTTCCATGTCAAATCATGAATTAGAACACAAAATAAAAATGTTTACCCAAAAATCGTTCGTCGTTATTATTAATAAATAGATACAAAGCCCTTAAATGCGACTAAGGCATAAATTAAAAAATGTAAATGCTTACGTCAAATAATATGTCTAGCCTTCAGCGTTAATCCACTATACACCTAATAAATATAACATTTTTTACTATTCTTACACAATTTATCAACATGCGTTATTTTGTAATTTAGAAGTCAGTAATAGGTACCTAATTAATTATTAAATACCATTCAATTAGCCATTTTGTGGGTAATTTATTTTTTTAATGTTTTAAGTGTTGATGAATAAATTTTCCAATTCCGTATTTTTTAATTTTGTTTAAAAGTGTAACCAAAGTNTATTTATTAAAAAGTAAATAGCGTCATTTTTTGCGTAAAATAATAGTTCTTAATGGAGTATATAAAAAATTGAAAGAATTCCGTTGCTTTAATTTTTTATAAAACAAAAATCTACATGTTTAGTGGCCCGCTCTTAAAATGTAACTGCAACCCCACGAGACAGTATATCCTTCATTTAGTGCTACGTCTCTTCAGATTTCTTTAAAAAGGCATAAGACATTACTTCACCTATGCTGTAATAATGTTCTCGAGGTCATGAAATAAATTGGACCATTTATTTAAGCTTGTCGTAGTTGCAGCCTACTTACAGAATAAAACCCACGTCTCGCCACTACAAACCACTTTGGCATAGAAGTACTTTAAACATTGTCTTTTTCTTAAAGGTACTTGACAAGTTTAGCAATAATACAACTGTGGTTTTGTTGACTTTTATCCTACATAAACTCGTAAATAAAATGGCAAGTTTGAGCATATGCTTTTCTGTTTTTGTTTATTTATAAATTTTGAAAATAACCGATATTTGGAAACCAAGAAGTAATACTTCTTCAATGAAAAAATAGCTATGTGATAGACAATCTGAACTTTGAAGGGCGAAACGTCGGAATTTTGTTAAATATTTATAGTTGTACTGGTTTTACCCGCAGCTTCGCTCTCATCGATGTCCTAAAGATCATCGACGACTAAATAAAACTAATTTTTCTATTCCTCGGGAACAGTATTCTTTTTCTGGATGAAAGTTACCCCATGTCCTTTTCTGTACTCCTCACCACGTGGGTACAAAATTTGATAATAGGTTTTATCCGCGACTTCATTCGCGTTGGTGTCCTAAATGCGTCTCAAAAGTAATCGCCGACCACATAAAACTAATTTTTCAGTCCCTCGGAAACACACTTTTTTTCTAGATAAAGGATACCCAATGTCCTTTTGTCTACCCTTCACAATGTGTGTACAAAATTTCATGATGATCGGTTACATATGTAATTAAGATGTGAAATGGTAGCAAAGAAAGGAACCCATATTCGCATTTGTTACATTAGTTAGGATTTTCCTAAAAAGTTCAGTCAATGTTTCATCTAAAATGATTAGAGACAATGGAGAAATATTACCTAAGAATGCTATGTTCAGCTGTCTGTCAACAATATCTCGAGGAAATTTAACATTTATAGATATGCAAAGTACTCAACAATTTCAAAAATACTAAATTACGGTAGCCATAACAGGTTTCCTGTTTTTTTAATTTCTTCTATTCTTGAATGGCGTGTTGTAACTGTTTATAGCTTTTGTGATTTTTGTTTAAATAACTAGTTATTTCGCACCTTACCTTAAAGGCAAATATAAGCAGGTATTGATAGGTAGATTTTTTTAGATTTTTTTCTAAATCAGCTGCCATTTACTTAGAATGAACCTTCAGGGTAGACATATTATTCCGTTAAAATGAAAGAGCTTTTCTTGTTAAGGTTTATTAACAAATTGATAAAATATGAGTCTTATTAAAGTCAGAAAGTGAATTTCCAATGTCACGAACACAGCTAGTTGCAAATAAATATACATAATTAAAAAGTATCATATAGTATGTTCTACTTATTTTCGTATAAATTAAATACCATTAAAAAACTTCGACTTTCGTATCCTTACTCACAGATGTTGTGCATTGAAGAAATTTTGGATCTGCAGCATTCCTTGTCAATATATATATATATAACTGAATCATGGCTCGTGTGTAGGAATGAGCAAAATTGGTCTTAGTCTTCATATTGCGACAAAAAAAACGAAGACCGAACGAACAAAATCAAAACTAAAACCAAGACAGTAGATATATGCAAAACCAAAACCAAATATAAAAAAAGAAACTTTACCACTGTTTCAAAAAGGGGTTCTTCATTAATGTCTATTCTTTGTTTCTATGCCTAAATAATTATTGCTTGAAATATACAGATCAACCAATTTTTTTTAGACATTTTTTCTTCTTTCAAGTACCTTGTAGATACTAATTTTTCGCTAAAAGGTCAATTTATGCGTTAGGTAAGTACTCCAGTTTTCATAACTCTCACAACTATCGATAATATTTTCTTTAAAAATTTGTGCTTAAAAAAAGAAAAGTATCAGCCCAAGACTTAACACGTAAGAACGAGACCAAGACTAAGACTAGAAGTATTTGAGCAAGATCAAGACCAAGACCAAGACGGAATAAGCAAGACCAAGTACCAAGACTCGGACAATCTAGGTCTAGCTTTGCTCATCATCCGTAAATCAAATTGAATTACACCAAATTTAATTAATATCTGAGTAACTTTTCATAATATGTATATGAAGCGTTTTTTATCTATAGGCAAACAGCAGATCATCGTATTCATGTAGATGGTATCAGAAATGCGAAAAATGCGTACCTGTATACCTATTGCCAACTTATTTGAACTTGTTACTTGTAACTGACTTCCTGTGAAGACCTACTTACATTTTTGAACAATGCTGATGAGAAGAGCATGAGAACAGACATCAATTTATACATGCATACTTCATGCAGCACACCTTTCGCATAGTTTAACTCGATAATACATATACTCTGAAATTTGTAATGTAGTTCCTGTGTCAACTTTTGAATATTTGTGCGGGCGTTTTGCGTTAATTAACCTAGCGCCTCGAAATTTTTCGAATTACTTACTCGATATGTACGCGTGTTGTTGTTTGTCATTGTGCCGAAATTGCCCAACAATGAACGTATTATGAACTGATGATCTTTCGCACAATGAACGTCCTTATTGTCTTTTTTTGTACATATGTACACATTCCGCTGTAATTTTCTTGCTTCTTTATTAGAGGTTTAACTCGATTTACAAACATTGCAGTTCTTTGATAGTAAGATCTCAAAGATTTACTCTTTAGTCCCTCATTTCAGTAAAATAAGTCAGTGCTATTTTGTTTTATTAGGACACCTATTAAAAGCAGAATCAGGAGTAAAGAGTGGCAGGGGGGGAGATCTAGATTAAACTAACTAATCGCAAATATTTAAGGATGAAGGATCTTCCAGTTTTCAGGAAATGCGAGAATTAGTTCAGGATTAGATAGTATTCAACCAGGATAAAGGATAATATCCTCAAAAATAGTAACCACAAAAAATTCTTTTTCCGTATTAATTTAACATGTATCTACTAGTACTAATGTATACTACTTCTTTTTATAATCTCCTTTTTCAAACGATTGACCGATGGCATTTTGAGTGGTGATTGTACTAAGACTAGTCACAACCAAGTATGTCATTCGCAAAGAGCAATAAAACTTTTGGGAATGAATTCATAGGCTTCAGCGAGAAGCCCGGAAGATGTTTAGAACCAATACCAATTGTGAAAATTTTAATAATTATTAATAATATTGAATGTTATATTCAATTTGTCAGACGACTATAAACATCGTATAGACTCCGGCCGTGAAAGCCTGCAAGCATATATTTCACTGTATTAATTTTATTTGACTTTGAATTCACTATCTTCTTTAGAATATATATGCAGTGTTTCAATTTATCATTTGAAATAATCCTTAATAAAATTGCAAGTAAACACAGAATGTTTTTTCAAGAAATAATTACACTATGTGACAATACCTATATGTATAACAGTTGTTTTTTATTAAATGACTGTAGCAGTAAACAAGTTTATAAAATGTAAAATGTATGCAGTAAAATATTTTCTCTTATTTCGAAAAGTAAAGACCGGATCGAAAGACATAATAAGGGTGCCCTGGGCGACAGTGAAGTGAAAGTTTTATTGTTACGCGTCGATATGTAACCCGTTTAAACTACAAAAAAAAATAACGTGCAAGGAGAAATTGCTAATTTGTGCTTTTCGACGAAGCGTGTGTCTTTCAAAAGAGGAATTTCTGGGAGAGTAACCAAGAGCATTGTTAACGTCAACTCTAGCAAAAAAAGTCGTTTAAAAATAATTTAAAAACATTTAAAATAGCTATACAATCAAAGCAAAAGATTATATAAATTTTAATGCCCTCATAATTAAGATAATTCCTAGATGTTCCTAACCCCATCAGGCCCATAATAGGAAGGCCAATAACTGCGCCTTCTAAAATGATATTACAT